GCTATACTCCGTCACCACAGGAGATCAGCCCAGTCGTGGCCAACAATGAAATAAGGAAGAATGTAGAAAAGAAGAATTATGGGGAAAAGGTACTATATCGTTAAAGTAAAAAACAGGCAGATGTCTTTTTACATCCGCGTAGAAATGTATCGAGCCGATCATACGATCAAATTGTATGGCGTGACAGCCGGAGACAGATAACTGTACGAGTTGTTCATATTCAAAAGTCACATAGGGAATCCGTTATTGCCATCACTGAATTCAAGTATATGTTTTTGGACTGTTAACTCCAGCAAAGAAGGGGAAATGATTAGCACTGGAGAACAAATGTAGCGAAGGGGATCGCAGCACAATATTATGAATTAATCAACTTGTTGGGAAAATTACGAAAGTAGTTCCTGACGTCACACCAGTAAATAATTTTGCTCTCAGTTTTAAACGGAAGACAGTTGGTATGAATTAACTTTGAAAGGAGTAAAACCGCATAGGAGGTAGCATTAAAGAATAGCATAAGAAGCGGTTTGTAGCAGCTCATCCTAGATGATCATGTTTTCTCTGATGCATTCGAGTCGATGTTCTCCGGTATCATACTTGATCCGGCCCTTCTTCATACAGCTTTTCACTATCAAGTTGAATTTTTAAGATCCATTTCACTCTGTCCGTTGACAGATAAACCTTTATTATTTTCCTGAACATGCAAAAATGTTCAATACATCTAATCTCTTTTGGCAGCCGTACCTAAGAATGTAGAAATTTCTCCTTAGGCTGCTCTTGAATTTAGGTAAATAGAATATACATTTGTATTGACCTGGAGATTCTCCCGTATGACTGTGTAAATTATTCTAAAATACATTCAAATTATAGCTTTCTTATGTATTAAGGAATTAAGCGGTTTGCCTGTTGGAACGTTGTTCCCGTTTGTTGGAAACACGAACATGATCTCCGCCTTTGGCTTGCGCGACTCGACTGCGAACGACGCTCTGTCAACGCACTCGACACCAACGACATTCTCCCTAGCTAGCTCTCTCCGGGTGCCCTATTTTTAGCGTTAGCTAACTCTCCTCCGTCCAATAATGTTTTTCCCTAGCTTAATTTGTATGTTCTACCCATTGCTTTTGCTTGGCCGTCTAGTTTCCTACCATATATATATATATATATATATATATATATATATATATATATATATATATATATATATATAGCGCACGATCAACGCGCTATACGTTCACTATCTCTCAGTTCATAAGTGGTGTTTTCCCGAAAGTGCAGTTGATAGGTTCCCGCATATGCTTTCGGCCACGCGAGTTTGTGGAGGAAGCACAGATTTAATTGCATTCTTCATAACCACAGATGTTCAAGATTCAACTGCTTGCACCTATCTCTGTATGAAAGAGCGGTTGAATAGCCAAATATGCGCTTCCTAAAGGCGCGTTGGACGTTTTCAATGGCTCTCAAGTCACCCTTTCGCAAGTGACTGAACGTGAAACAGCAATATTCAAGCAAAAGCCTGATACCGATTTAAATGTTCCCATATTTCTCGGCAGTTGTGGTTGCCTAGAATAGCTTTGATGTATGGATTTTTCAGTCGTGAAACCTCGGGTTTTATTGCTAGAAAGAGTTGTTTTACGTGAGCAATCATTTTACATTTGTAGGCTCGTTCTTTTTTCCTTCTAAGTTGTTTGAGTGATGATGAGGTGAATTTATCGACCCGTAGGAAGATGGTTTCGACCGGGTAGCAAAAATCGAAGTCAATGTTAAGATAGTCAAAAAGTTGCTCACACTGAACAGTGGTATCTTAATTGTAGAAAATTGTAAAATCCGGACAAGTCAGCACTTTCTTCCTTCACGCAATATTGGATGCTGAACAATCTTTTCATCTGACAGTTTTGTAGAGCTTAGTAACCAATGAACCGAAATGAGTCTTACCATAAACGACGGGGCACACTTTTATGCTACACTGATCAGAGTTACCGAGTTGGACACGCTTGTGAGCAGAAAACAGCCAGACATGATTTGTGCAAATGGAATCTAGTTGCACTTCAATTCTGGTCGCAAAAGCCACTATGTCAGTCACATTACGTGCTTGAATGAATGTGGTATCACTTTTATTAAAGTCCCCGGCAATGACAGACTGAGCGGTCCATTTTAGGTAGTAACGCCGAGGATAGCTCGCTCGTAAAACTTTTCAGGAATAAAACATTCAAGCACATGGCAACTGATTGCGACTGTTGAGTAGGTAAAAATATGGATGACAAGTTACACCAACGTTGATGGACGTAGGTAATGACACCCCCTCCACGATTTTGAGGCACTCCTGGGACGTCGGATCTGATTGGACGATAATCAGCAAGCTGAATATCTGTCTTTTACATCAGGATGTAATCAGCTTTCTTGATTTATCTAAATGGGCTGCATTGAAATATTCACGTCGCTGTACAACAGCAGTAAGATCCACCATTTTTCCATGGAATGAATGAATATTACTGGGTAAGATCAGTGGAATTTGTGTCTTGTGAACTGAACGAAGTCTAAGACTGACTTGCCAGTCAGCACGGTGTCTTCGCAATTTACAATAATTTTTCCGCATGACTTGTTTAAAAGAATTTCGGAATTTATGAGCATTTTGAACGATACGCAGATGTAGAGCAGTATCCCGGAGAAATTTCAAAAGCTTGACGGTATAAGACAACATTGAGGTCAAGAAATAGTCCAGCTAAACAAAATGGCACATATGTTTTGTGAATTGGTTAAATCCGCAATAGCTAGAGTGAAAATAATTTTTCAGAGAGAAAAGCAACGGCCGGTTTGAAGGCACCGCTGGATAGTCAATCTTTTGAGTTATCTGTTTATTAGTAGAATGTGTTTGGGGTTATGGCAGCGTCCTCTGAGCCGTTCGTGTGGTAGTGACCTAACCACCAGAGCAGTTCGACCAATCCGCCAAAAAACATTTCATTCGGTTTGGTTCACCGCAATTAGATTTCAAGCCGCATAGGTCAGCTGCCAATCCGGAAATGCACCAGACGCGTGTTTTGCCCTACTGGGGCTCATCAGTGGTGCGCATCAATCGGCCCCCTACTGGGGATCGAACCCATGACTGCTAGAGGCTAATGCCAACTAGCCAGCAGCTTATGCCACTGAGCCATGAGGGACGATCATTACGAATTGAAACCTAACTGCGATATAGCCCGACTCATCCTCCACTGCCATGCAGGTTATTGCCCGTGCAGAGGACAGTGCTTGGCCGTCACGGTCAAGTCTTCCCTTGCCAGCGCCGTGAATCCACACAGCAACTTGGACTACTGGTATGGCTTAGACTTTTGATTAAGAATGAGTGGACGGATTTGGATATGATTCGGTTTGGTTCATCGTCTAATCAAAAACATTGGACGATGTCGCACGGAATCTGTTCTCAAGTCGGCGATCTTAAGCAGGCAATATTGCATTTATAAATGAATTGTCAACTCCTGTACTTACAACGGCACCCAGGCCTCTTAAATTCACACCGCAGTCGGGTTTCCAGATCCCGATGCTGCCTTGCCCTCCTTTGTCTGGCCTCAGCTCACAGTTACGTCACATACCATTCGAAAGCGTCCTAGATTGCGAATTTTTTAAGCGCGTTTGCAAACTTAGAGTTATGCGCAGGTCTATGACAACCACTCGCGTTCTTTCGCATGAAACATTACTCATCATCAACCTAAATCTACCTGTCTTTGGGTGATATCCCGGTGTGTATCCCGGAATGGTCTGAACTTACTGATGTGTAACTCTGTCTGAGTGGTCGATTTTGTGCCCGGTAGACTAGACGACATCGCCGTATTCCGGGATCCCTCGTAAGTCAACTATTCTTTGCTATTTTTTAAAACGATCGTTTCACAGTCCGAAGTGTCAATGTGTTTTGGCCTGTGACCACTCACTGAATCATTCGGCAACTATCCAAGCCTAAATCGCTCGAAAAGCAAGTCGAATGACCTTAAGCAGGAAGTATTTCTCATGACAAGACAAAATCTCAGATACAAAGTCAGCTATATAGTCCTTCACAATGGATACTGAAAACTGCCACTGTGACCAAATGTCATCGGATAGGCAGTGGCGTTCATCATGAAATTAGCGTATCAGCTTCTGTAAGGAAGGTCGATGAAAGCGACCCCAATTGATTCGTTAGGGTTTGCTTACCTTTAACCAAATACTTCCTGCCAGATTGGCCAAACCTACTCATACTGTCACAAGTACCGCTTTAAGTGCACGGCAGTTTATTTCTCCTGGGCGTTTTTTCTAGTTGACTGCTTAACGAATGACATCTATCAGCACAGTTCTTTAGTTCAAAATGCTTTTTCCACATCCTGTCACTTCTGTCGCCAGCGGGGTCGCATTGTCTGCAAGTGATATAGTCTACGATGCCACGGTACGCGCATTTATGTCCAGTGGTTACAGGACCTGGTCCGTTCATGTTAATAGTCTGTAAGTTCTTGTTAATCACTTTGTGCAATGACAGTGTCACGTTGAAGATGGTGACGTTTACCAAGAGATTTTCTCGTCAGGTTGACTCTACTGATAAGTGGGCTTTACACTTCACTGCAAGGTTTCGGTGGCTCAAACGCGTACTTCGCATGTCATTTCTACAATTGCCTTTTTCGTGATCTCCTCGGGCGCTCTGAATTTGACCCTACGCGACGACAACGAGCGATTTGGGTTCGAAGCATGTCTGTAGTAGGATTTCGAAGACAATAAGCACTTTTCCCTCTACTCGCTGTCAAACATGGCTAGTACCAGCGCTCAATTGCGATTTTGCTGAACACATCTCACTCCCAATTCACTAGATAGTTTTATCCCTGTCCATTCTCACTGTATATGCTAGGAAGATTGGGCTTATTTTTACTAAATATGGTCAAGCACCGTGAATGTTCGCCTTTCCCGATGCCATTGATTGTCCGCCTACTCTTTCGTCCTTGTCGTTGAACCGTCGCTTTTATTTTCCTCTATTTTTTTGCTTCTAACGACAGATTCTGCACAAATTAGCTGAATTAATTCGATCTGAATCCGAATGGCTCGCGGAACTGGAGACGCTGGACACTGGGAAACCACTATGGGAATCTTTGAACGATATCAACGCGTGCGCTGATGTGGTGACCATGTTTGCCGGGTTTCTGCCCACACTCAATGGAACGCATTCTCCGGTTCCACCGAATCCGGCCAGGTATTAAGTTGGCTGCGTTTCTCTTGTTTGGGCTCTGTGCCATGCCAACGAGAAAAACCTTATAAAAATGATGTACTCATGACAGTTTCTAAATGCTATGTCACACCCTAGCTCAGTAAACACTTCGACCACGAATACATAGTTATTCTCCGTGAAAATCGTGTGTTCCGCGGCCAGTCCTATCCTCTGCAAGTTGGTAAATTGCATGACATTATTGGATAGGTTGCGCTGTATTCCGACGTGTTCCTTCTCAGTTGACTTGCAAATGATGGCGGTCCTCCCTCTGTCCCCCATGCCCCAGTGACTTAAGCTGCTGGCTGGTGGTCATGGATTGGGATCCTTTTGGATCTGATGGACGAGACCCAACAGGTCGAAACGGCCGTCTAGTGCTTTTCTGAGCCTGAAATGGACTATCTGATTTAGAAGCTTCTGTGATGAACTATAAATTAATCATAGTGACCATGAATATCATCATGCTTAACGTACCCTGGTTTTATGATGCTTTAAGATCTACTTCATTAGACATATTGCAATGCTAGCTACTCTTCTATGTTGCAGGGTCTCGGGTTTTGCTTGCTTTTCGGGGAGACAACTAGTTGCAATAGCTATTTGTTGGACACACACAGTTCGCTCCAAACACCGCATTTCACGATCGGTTTCGTTGTATTAACGCTTCATTTGTAGATAGCCGAACTAGCATCCAAACCTTAGATGTAGATACTACCGGAAACCGCTGCCCTCATTTGTACTACACCGCGTCCATATGCAACACCTGTCACAGCGCTCGGTAACCGAGTGGTCTGCGTGCCTGGTTTTGCAATTATAAGATCACCGGTTCGAATCCACCGCGTAGGAGTGGGTGTCCTCGCGGTATACTCATCCCGAGCCTGACTGGTGATGATCGCACGGCAGCGAAGCACCGTTACGGTGTACAGCCGGCAAATTTTTCAAAGCGCCCATTATATGTTTGCATTGTGACACGTAATCTCAATTAGGCTTGTTGACTTACTTCCTGATAACTTGTCAGTTTGACAGCGTGAAAGATTTTTGTCGCGTTGGTGCAGATCATCGCATCCTCATTGATTATTCAGATATCTGAGCAAACACCGACAAGTGAAATGTAGCGCAAATGGTACACACTCACATGTTATCTTATATGGCGTTGGAATGAGAGTACGTCAACAGGAAAATGACATATGTATCGGTTGTTATGCATTTGACACGGCTAAGAAACACACTGTGGCGGTTTCGTCTTCATATCACGTTGTGATTTTGTGCTCGAGGATGGTAATTCTTGAACCTTTGGGAAGAGTGGAACGTTTCCATCCAAGTATTGTTGCCGTTCTTTACCAGTTGCAGATGTCCTCGAGTAAACGCATTGAGCTCTCTTTTCGGGCGAGAACTTGACCTGCGCAGATGTTACCGTAGCAGTTCTCCGATTTCATGGACCAACTTTTCTCATTATCTTGCTCAATGAATCGAACTCAGCTTTGGAGCATAAGATGTACGCTACACTTACTTCAGCGTCGTCTGACAAGGTGCGCCCAGTATCATTGCCTGCGACTAGGCCGGTTGCGGTTCAAGTAAATTCCAGAACCCGTGGGGTAAATACACCCCGTCGAGGTGATTCTTTCATGGATAGCAGCGTGATAATCCTTAACGCCGTGGAATCCACTGCCGCACTTTATATCGAACGTACGCTGGACGACCTACAGTGGTTTATGATATGCGTAACGTAGCTTCTTCCGCCTGGGTTTCCTGGTGTTACTGTCAGGAACCTAACTAAATTGGGTAACGTCCCAGTTAACGCCCCAAACTCTCGACCGCGCTTACTTCGTGTGGTCCTATCCACCCCGGATTAACGCAACGCGCTGTTACGGTTTGCCTTCAAAATGAAGGGTACTAATGTTAGCATTCAGCCAGACCTCCCATTGGCGGATAGGCTGAAGCTAAAAGAGGCCATTAAGAACCTCAAAACAAAGCGAGCGGCCGGTGAACACGGTCTCCGGTTGATGGGTTTTCGGGTGGTCAGCCGACGGTCTTTTTCCGCCCTACCAGTGCCAGTACTGGTAGCGCACGACCCAGAGCTGGACATTACAAGTATCTTCAGATAGTACTAAGCAATGTGCGGAGCCTAAGGAATAAGATATGCGAGATAGGTCTGCTTGTAAATGGGTCTAATCCCGATATACTTGCATTCACTGAACCATGGCTGTCTCGGGACATCACGGACGTTGAAGTACATCTGTCTGGCTACGCACTATTTAGATGTGATCGCTTCGTTGGCAGACAAGGCAGGGCGTTGCGCTTTACGTTAGCTATGGACTTGATCTGCGTATCTACATGTTTCAGTCGGCAGATGAAGCTGTCGAAGCTCTGTCGGTAGTGATTAGCAATTCTTCAGCTCAACTTACAGTTGTACTTGTGTATAGAAGCCCTGGGAGTGCGTCCAAAGAGGTGCTTGACGTTATTCGCTCCCAATCCGCAAACAGGTGTTTGATACTGAGTGCCTTCAATCAACCTTAAGTTTGCTGGGCAGCTCTTTCTTGCAACTGGGCAAAAGGTACTTTCGGTGCAGATCTTCTTGAGTTTACGCTACAAGTACCGTTGCATCAGTTCGTGGACCTCCACACTAGGTACATGGATGCCCAACTACCGTCTATTTTGGATCTAGTTTTTGCCAAGTCACTAGACTTCGTAGGTGACATTACTTACAGCTCTCCCTTAGGTGCTAGTGATCATGTCCGTTTATCATTCAGATGTACTCTGACCAAGTGTCACCAGAGCATCGTTAAGCCACATCCAAACATGTGGCATGCTAATTATCAGGCAATGCTTGTCAAGACTTCGGGGTTGCGTTGCGCAATCTCGGTGGTCGATATGGTTCAGGCAGCCTGGGATAAATTTTAAATCTTATCGCACGAAAGTGTTTACTCCCTACATCCCGCTTGCGAGGAGAAAGGAGACACGGGCGCGGCCGCCTTGGATAGATACCACTGGCAAGTACCTGCTCCAGAAGCGTTCTAGGTGCTGGAGGACCTACCGTGCGGCTCCATCAACTAGCACCTATGATAGATACCGCGAGGCTAGAAATAGGTATAAACAACGCTTAAGAAAAGCTCGGTTGATGTACGTTCACAATCTTATTACATCACACTAATACTCGACTCCTCAGTTTCACAGAGGCGGTTGCCATTAACCGGATTACGTCGATGCTTTATGCATAGAAACAATTATCGGTCAGTCTTAGATTGCCCTGAAGATAGCGGTAGTAATAACCACCGGTCTCACACTGTTTGTTGGTCTGATTGTATGCAGATGTCGCGCACATCAGCGCGCGCAGTTGGGATACACAGGCTTTCACTTAAATTAGATCTTCATCTGCATAAAATCTATTCCACTTTATTCGATTTGCTCATTTCTCTTATTTTGCTGCATGTTTTGAGTCAATTTTGCATGTTTTCTTTCTTCAAATTAGATGTGGCTGCGCTTGATATGAATGTTGACAGGATGTCTGCCTCCACCTCTCTTATTGGATCCAGGAGAATGCTAGTCTTTGCTGTGGGGACAGGGTGCACGGTCCTCGTGACCTTGCTAAACTCACAAAGTGGTTCCATCCAATGTGGAGTGGGCTACGGCCCAGCCACCTCCTTGTGTGTGTCTGGTACGCCTGATTCCCCAATTAGACTGACTGGAATATTGCCGCTCTGCGTAATGAAGGAGTTTGAGCTGGCTCCTTTGATGGAACGTGATTCCCATCCACATGCTTCGGGTTTACACTGGATATGGGATGTGTGAATGGAGCTATGGATGGTGCAGCGCAAGCCATCCATGGTCCTTCTGTAGGCGTAGGCGTCCTGTGGCTGTCCCCCTAGAGACCGCAGTGACAAGCAACTTCGGAACAAGATGTTGCCAGACATGTATGTTCCGTGCGTCACGCTGAGATTGATGTTGCACACATCATGCTTCCTTCACCTCAGTTGAGTTACACCGACTTACACTTAAACTAAATCTTCTTAACCTGGATTCTAAGTATTCCGCCTTATGTGCTTTGCTCCATTTCTTTATTCTGTTGCATATTCCCTGTCCGTTTTGCGTTTATTTTCCTTCTAATTCTCTGTTGCTTGTTTGATATGGCAGGTGTGGCTACGCTTGATGTCTAACCGCCCCCACCTCGATTACTGGCCGCTGGAGGAGACGAGGTGCGCGGTCCTTGTGGCCATGCTAGGCTCATAGTGTGGGATTATCCAGTGCGGAGTGGACTACGACCTAGCCACCGCCTTGTGTACGTCTGATACGCATGATTCCCTACATAGATAGACAGCAATATTGCTGCTGTAGTGTATGTTAAAGAAGTGTGGGCATTCTTTTCTACTGCGCTTTTCAAATTATCCGAAGCAAGTAACTGTTTAAAAGTTATATCCATCTATAAATATGGACCTCGTTTCGGATCAGCTTAGCTTTGTTTAAGTCATATGATCCAGAAAAGTGCATAAATTCAGCGGCATGTAACAACTCATTCAAATGAATTCTTCCTTGACCTTGCGTTATACAAGATCGTATTTAGGAGCCACCAGCTGCATCCCCGAGTACACTTCGTCTGAAAGAGAAAAGTGGAAGATTTTAGTGGAATGCTTTTTGTTCAAAGTGTACATCTACCTACATCTTATACGATATTCACACCCTTCACTTTGCTGGTTGCTAGAGAGAGGTTATTGACTTGTGTGCATACTTGCTTGGGAAATTCTGCCGATTTGGACCACACCACGAATAACAAATGGAACATTCTCAGTGATTCATCAAGAACAAAGTTAAATTACAAAGGGATGGATAGTGATTGGTTCTGGGGTTTGTTCTGAACTGACTCGGTCAATGGTTAGACAGCGAATGGTTCGCCGCTGTCTCATGCACACAGATCGATTGAGGGTTACGTAATCACAATGCCTGACCCGATGTCAGGGTGACGGCTAGGCTTGTGTCTGTTCGACCAGGGCAGGTATAGAGATTGAACAAACTTTTTTCCGAGCATAGTGGGGTTGGAATATGCGAATGGCAATGGCCTCTGCAGTGGCAAACATGCTTAACCGCGAACCTTTCGATTTGCTCATTGGAACCTGATAAATCACAGTAAAGGCGTTCGGGAGGTTAATCTGGGGACCTGATTCGAACAGATGAGACAAAATACCGCTTGTAAGCACTCCGGTGCCCCCATTCAACAACCATTTAGGGCTATGTTCCTTAGTGCGACGTGACAGTTGACGAGTCGTCCGACCAATGTATGTTGCTCCACAAGTGCACTCAAATCGGTAGATAACGTAAGAAGAGGTCAGCTTCGGCAGTCTGTCCTTGTTGCACACAGGAATTAGCTGGTTCGTGGCGAAGTTGCATCGTGACTCCGCAGCCGGAAAGGTGTTCCTTATCGATTGCGTCAGTTTCCTTGTTAAAACCTCACTAGCTGTATCACCTTTAAAACCAAGGCGGATGAAGAGGGCTTTTTGCGCGACTACGTCCTTAACGACCGGTGTTATTTTGGGCTGCATGTTGCGCTGAATGAATCTTTCTGGATAACCATTTTCACGCAGTGTTCTGGTTGGATTTCATCTCATCCTCCAGAGCATCCTCTGAGCATATCTTTCTCGCCCTTGAGGTGCGACAATGTACTAAGTTACGTTTGTATTTAAGCGGAACAAAACTACTGAAATTTGTATACTGACCTGTCCACGTCTTCTTTCACTTGGTCTTCCTTAACATGGAACAGTCTGTTCGTCTACTAAGGTGTAAATCCAGAAATGAGAGTTGACCATCTTGTTCAAGTTCCGTAGGTGAACTTAATCGCCGGGTGCGCACTATCAAACTCTGCCAATATATCCTCCAGAGAGATATCTTTATGGGTTATACAATTGATGTCATCCATATAACGATAGTAATGGTCGAAACAATCTATAAGTGGCTCCAGTGATTCAGTTTCACTATCCATCCCTTTGTAATTTAACACCACGAATATTCCCATCCATCTGTTGACCCCTAGCTCCAACTTCGTGTGCGGTCAAACAACTCCTTTTTCAGCGGCTTCTCATCACCATCACTAGGCAATACGATCATATAAGATGGCATACCATATCGACTCTTGGGGTTTGCCTACTACCAGCCAACGGGAATTTCACTCTACGCGGGCCATTAATCGGGTTGCGTGTGTGTGCGCGCAGTTGCTGCAGTTGTTCGCTTCATGTCTCTTGTCCTCCCACGAACACAGCTGCTTTTATCTTATGGTGCTGTTCCATTTTAAGTTGCCAGCTTGCTACCTGGCATTGCCTCTAATTTCTCAAATCTGAAATGTTCTTAAGCTCGCTTCACATCTGGGTTCCTTGCGAGTTATCACATCTTTTTACTATTTCAAACTAGCCTGCATTCACGCCGGGGTCATCCCTCCGCTTTGAGATTTTGTGAGACTAAGTATGGTATTGCGGTGGCACACAGTTTACCGATCGCGTCTGTTGTCGAAATGCAATTTTAATCTACACTGACGCACATTTTGGTTGATGAGGTCACATTTGGTTTTATGGAATACTTTGACCTCCAGATACTTTGCAACGACGAGCAACAAAGGTAATCCTTCAAGAAACATAATGTACAATTTTCTGCATGTGAAAACCTATAAAGTCTCACAATTATCTATTACCGAAAGAGGCAAATACTATTCCTCCTAGCAGTGACTAATTCTTAGGCTCTGAAATATGATCTTGTTGAAAAATATTAAAAAGGTCTCTCATTTACTTGAAGTCGTTGCATTATCAGCGTGTTCCCTCGTCATCGTTTCTGCCATCATCGAATTATCTGTAAAACAACATACATGGTTGGTCACTTTGTATGGACCAGTCCATTATGCGAAATGTGTATTTTACAGATTCATTGTTCATTTGAATTGATTGAACGGGGACTCACTTGTGAGAGGATTGGTCAGATTTGCTTTTCTCACGTTGGTCACCGTTGCATTTGGCCTTTCTGCAAGGAAATAACATACAATCTGGCCGGAATTTTAGCACTTGAAAGTTAGTCAGTTTTCCTCACGGACCATCAGGAACACCCAGCAAAGCACCGAATACATCGCCAAATTTTTTATGCAACCTTCCAGCTACTTGGCAATAACTCGCATATCACTTGATAACTCCCGGCACTAGATCCCATCTATTGACTTAGTCATATCGGTCGTGTCCGTCCTCCGCAGCTCCTCATTGGTCTCAACCCCAGACTGGCAACAGTTGAGTTGCGAGTTCGAGCCCTACCATGATCCGGTGGAATGAGCACTGCTGACGATTCCCGAAGAGATGAAATGGCCGTACAGTGCTTTTCAGGGTGTGTGATGGCTGTCTGATTTGAGTCTAGATGTGACGAATTTCTACCTATACCATTCAACTCACCCTACTACTACTCCTCTGTAATCAGTACGCAGACCAAATTGCTTATAATACCATAGGTGAATTGGTGGCTTAATTTCGGTATGTTTGTCGTTTGGTGTGGGGGGTACCCTGTCCTCTGCACGGCAGTAACGTGCAATTCAGCAAATAGTGAGTGGCACTATGTCACATCTAGTAACTTGGTCACCACGGTCGTTACCATGCCTTGTAGCTCAGTGATGTCAAGCACGGACTGGTAACATTCGGATTGGAGGTTCTAACCTCTCATGGGTCAAATGGGATGTGCACCGTTGAGGATACCCGTAAAGATGAAACGCGTGTACACTACGTTTCAGGGTATGTGATGGCTGTCTGTGTGTGTCTAGATGTGACGAATTTCTACCTATACCATTCAACTCCCCCTAACTGTGTGTGTATGCCCCATGCTGAGGCTGATGTTGCATTCATGATGCCTCTTCACCGCAGTTGGATCAAACCAACTTGCACTTAAACTGCCTTTTTAAGCTGGATAAAATTCATTCCACGTTACCTGGTTTGTTCTGCGTACCCGATAATCTTCTCCTAACTTGTACACATCGCTCATGCTAATTATGGTAAATTTGCGTAGTTTTATCACGTGGTATCTTTTAAGTAACTTTCGGACATTTTGTTCGAATCGAAGATTCGCTTATAACCAATTTCTTCGATATGCTCATTTACCGAGTATTTATTTCGTTGTATAGGTTTACTTCCTTCGATCACTTTTATTTTATATCGACATTTCGAATGAATGGCTGTTGCTTGATATCCCCAGTGTGGCTGCGCTTGATGTGCATGTTGACAAGGTGCCTTCCTGCCTATTACCCACTACCTCATCTATACTGGATCCAAGAGATTGTTGGATCGTTGCTGGAGTGGACGGGGTGCACGGTTCATGTGGTCGTGCTAGGCTCCAAAAGTGGTTCCATGCACCTCAGTGTGGAGCGGACTACGGTCAAGTCATCGCCTTGTGTGCGTTTGATTCCCAAATACAGTTTGCTTGTGTTTGCCTGTGAAGGAGTGTGGGCCGGCTCCGTTGATGAAACGTGACTCCCATCCAAATTCCTCCCGGTCTTATTCCTCCGGGTTTACACCTGGAAATGGTGTGTGTGTGTGTGTGTGCGTGTGTGTGTGGATGTGGATGTGTGTGTGGGCGAGTGGAACTGTGGGTGGTGCAGCGCAAGCCATCCATGTTCCCTCTGTAGGCACAGGCGTCCTGTGGCTAGTCACAGTGACAGACGAATTCGGAACCGGACGCCGCCAAGCATTACTGTGACTTAGAAATTCGACTGTCACGGACCATTGAGGTTACCCAGCGGGAATCATTTGATTCGCCAGATTTGTACAGGACTCTTGGAGTGTTGTGCCTATCGCTTAAGCCTGTGAAGTTACCACACCTTGATCGTCAGTGGAGGCTGGTGCATGCATTTTCTAGCATGATTTGGACTTGTTCCTTAATATGTATCCTGGTGTAATGGGGTGTGCATTAGAATCGAGGTTCTTCAAGGGGCTAGTGGGCGCAAGCCTTTGCATTGTATGAGTTCGGTTCCCTGAAGCAGACCGAGGGAATGCCAGGCGAGCGCGGCCGTAGAGGTGTTACGCTTACCCCCTACCATGTTCTAACTTGTTCCGGTCTCACACTACCTGTCGTCTTATATATTTTCATGTTATTGTGTTTGCACTAAAGAGACAATACGAAATGTTGACATTTGCCAGTGTTCGCCTTCTTACGGCTTTATTCAAATTAGTAAAGGGATCTAATTGTTTCAAATTTCCACTGTTCCTATTAAATGTCAAGGTGTCACAAACCTGCGTTTGGCCCACTGTTGGTAGCTGCGAAAGGCAAAAATGGAAACAGGGATGTTGTGATATTTGAAAAGAGATGATAAGTAATCCGACAATCGGTTTTTGCAACGATTTATAGGTACTCACCTGTGGTACGATTGAAGTTACATAGGTCGATGGTACAGCAGTACAATTCCGTCACTCCGGTTACATGCAGCGGCGTGCAAGAAGTGGTACAATTTCGGTTGGTTTGAAATGAAGCGTCCTGCCACATGGCTTCTTCCAGCTGAAACCGAAGAGTTTGTGTCTGTCTCACCAACTGGTACTCTTTCACAAAACCACTGTGTGTTTTACGCCACATATGTTAGCTTAACTGTTTCGGCACATTCTTCGCACGGGCTCAACATTACACTTCTAATGACCGTGTTGTTCCGGGTTTACCCTAAGACTATCTGCAATCCACAGTGGATGTATGTCACACTCGAAAATACAGGTTTCCTCCTCGTTTAGAGTCATCATTTGAGGCTATCCATTCGAACTCTGGAACTTTGGGATGTCATTTGAAACCTCTGCTGCTAAGCCACCTAGTCACTGCAGTTGACTAGTTTCTATCTTTTGTGACAAGCGTTGCAGACCACTGTGTTGTATATGTCGTATAGCTCCGCGAACCCTGTGCGCAGATTTCAAGTCGCACTGACTTCAACTGAGCTGTCTTTGTTCGTCGCAATCAGTCGACAATTCAGATGAGTCAACTACCTATCCGGAAAAGCACCAGACGGCCATTTCGCCCCATTGGGGTTCGTCATTAGTGCGCATCCTTCGGTCCTCTACGGAGGATCGAACCCATGACTGCTAGTGGCTTGTGCCAACTAGTCCGCAGCTTATGCAACTGAGCCATGGAGGACGGCAGCCGATCGTCACAACGCAGTTCAACTATGGCAGTAGTTCTCAACCCGGGAGTAATTACCCCCAAGGGGGTCAAATGAGGTTTAACGGTGTGGGACACATCTAACTACGGGGATTGGATTATCATTCTGTCGCCAAGCAAAATTACTAAACAAATCCTCTGTTTCGAAGCCTGTAGCTAACTAATCACTATTGTTAAATCACCAGTGACTAATCATTAGGGAGTGACTAGTGAATTAGACAATTTTTGGTAATAAAATTTCATATCTGAAAGAAGAATTCAGGCTTGTAAAGCAGCACAGCTAGATGGCGCCTCTGTCGGCTCTCTCGTCTGTCGTTGTTCTTTCGAACCAGGCAGTCGTTCGCCGAGTCAAATTAAGATTTCAGTGAACACTACGTTACGGAGCATCGACCAGCAGGTGAGCTAAATTAGCGAGCGAATTCTTACAAATTAGAAGGGCCGAAACAAGCGATTAGTATTTTGGACGTATCGATACATTGGTGGTGGAAAGCTGTCATCTAAGATGGACTTGGTAGGGGTGGTTGAAACAAATGAGAACGCACTGGCATCTGTTTATGTTTGATCGGGATCACATACCAAAGAAAGCAACCGAATGAACCCGAAGCACGACCTACGATGTACATTGGCCCAAAGCGCACCAGATACTTCAGAAACTGTTAGGACTAAGTCATCTCAAATGTTTCATTAAGATATATCATCTATTAGGGATTTAAAGCTTACTCAAAAGTAGGTATTTTAATGGTAATTATAACATTAACAAATAAATAATAAGGAAGTGGAATAAATAGTCAATATGATATAACAATTGTAAATATTCGTTTCCCGTGATTTAAACCCAAAAGCAGTGGTTACTAGGTAATTGGCTTTTTAAACTACAACTTTTGATGGGTAATTTTTCATGGTACATCACCCGCTTTGTGGGTAACAATCACAAAAAATGTTGGGATCCATTACACTACGGGCTAACTTGTATGCAGTGCTGACACTCAGCTCCCCTATGGTTTCTGCCTTGCGTTGCTGTCCTATTAGGTTCCGAATTCAAAGGTGGAAAACGCATGTCCGCCTTAGGCTGGGTCAGTAAGCGATCTCTCTTGCTATCGACCTATCTTTCTTTTTTTACTCTGCTTGCTGTAGTTCAGATTTAAGTGTTTTGTTTCCACTCTCAAATAGCCTGTGCTCACATCTGGCGACTAGGTCCCTTAGTTCATGTACATCCGAAGTTAACTGGCTGCTCTGCGTGTGAACCGAAGAAGAATGAGATTAGCACTACACCGGCACGGGGTGCCCACGGTTCACCGCCGCTCTAGGGCTGGGTATACCGCTACGCCTAAGTGGATTCTGACTGGTACCCATAGGATTACTACACACGCGCGCAATCGTTGCGGACACTGGTCGAGTGGGGGGTACTCTCGGTGGAAGGTATTTCACCCTTTCCAACGAAGAGACTTGACAACATGTTGCCCGCCAAGCCTGAACTTTGTTTGTGGATACGGGTGACTGCAACACCTACAACCCAGTTCGGTTAGATTTGTAAACACAGCGCAACCGAGCAGGGAGCCCCGTTAGTGGAGTGCGGAACTGTGAGTCGGTAGCATCATCCACTTCAGATCCTACCCAATTGACCCTACTTGATTAAGGTCGTAAGTCACATGCACAATGGCACTCGAAATGAAGTCCCACTGAGCAGGAAATCGGTCGGTGTGGGAATTGTGTTCAGTTGAGCAATGATAATCCGAGCACCGAAGTGCGGTGGATCCAGTTGCCGCAACTCACATCGCAAGAATAACACTCAATAACAATGACAAGATAGTGGGATTGAAGGCAAATAGAATGTAAATAAAATGCAAACAAGTGGGAGGTGTGTTAAAGTAACCAGAATGGAACGAAAATTAACACCTAGATGAAATAAACCGAATGCAGGGACGCCACTGACTGCGTGATTACGCCATGTCTGACGCGGTCTCCAAGCATTGGTGTGTACCGTCCCGAGGCTGCCATCCATGAGGACGGCACGTATCAGCTTGGTCAAATCTCACAGTCAATCTCTTGATGCTTCTGTGCCATTTCATAAACTGGCCACCTCGACGTTTTGCCTATGGTGTATGACGCACGCCAGGGAAACCGGTCAACGAGCTTACAGAGGGCATGGTCTAGCCAAAGTAAACGAGTAAGATTCAATAAACTATACGTTGTACAATATGTCTACATATCTGAATGGGCGGGTCATTTGGAACACTCGTTGTATGGAAGGATTGTGACGCACCATCTCAATGTGGACGGCGATTCACATTGAAGGGAGGCTTAATCGTTTCGATCACAGGAACCGAAACCGAGGTAGATGGATATTACCAATATGACTCGGTGTCTTAAGGGTAGGGGTTTCAGCTAATATCGCAAAGGCCCCGAGTTCGAGTGCCTGTTTTCTCTATCTGATGAGAGCAAACATATACAAGACCGATCGTGAAGTGGTGAACAGTCATTGTCCAGCATACATACCAATCGTATAAAATTATTTGACTATCTTATGTTGCTTACCGAGCAATACGTACAGTTTCCTCTCTGCGGCATTTGTGCGTTCCCGGTTTGAGATCCACTCTCTTCCACATAACATTTCAGGTCACATGCTGCAAAACAAATATCCTATCTTAGGTGCTGGCTAAATTTCTGTGCAAATCGAATTACGGGGAGATAAGATGTATACACACTTTGCACTCTCTCCTATACGATACGTGATCAGAAACAAACCTACAGCACAGCGGAGTGCAAGGCGAACAAAGATGAACACAGTATCATCTAAGAAATGGTGAGCAACTCCGGTGTGTTCCCGCGCTAACCGTTTTAGCTCATGACAACGAATCCAGCAGCGCTATCGACCACCACAAAACGTCAGAACATCGGAACCTAGCAGAAATAGTCTCTAATCGCATTGTGGACATGGCTGACCGAGACTGATACAGTTGCTTGACACACTCGTCATACGGCTTACATAGTTTGGCAAAGATGTGTATTTTTCGAATCAGCCCAGGTGGTTTTGAACCCCTCAGCGTCGCATCACTAGTGTGTGATAAAGCGCCAGCGGTAGGACCTAAAGAGTCATTGTAAGCCTGTTGCTTCTTCGATGAACTTCCTGGAATTCTGGTTTCTGATACTTAAAAATAGATTGCACTGACTTGCTAGCGACAATTGTGTCGGAAGTACAGTACTCGGTAGGCCTCGAACATCTGCGATTAGAACTCTCGTCTGTAATGATATAGCTTTCGGGTGCGAGAACAGAGACATAGGTATTTTGCTTTGGGGGAAATGTGTCAGAAATCTACATACTATACAAATTAAGTAATCAGAAAGAAATCAATTACTTGTTGACTTTATTGGCAACGAGGAAATTTAGCTGCCTAATCTGGTTAACACCTGAGGCCACCATCTTCATGTGTAGAAAACAATACCTTTTTCGCGCAATACATATACGACCAGGTTTGAATAACACAGGGCCTGTAGATTGCCGAATGTGTATGTGGGCGCGGCTGGAGCTAACATAGATGCACCGCGATAGCCGAAGTGGTTTGCTCGAACTGGCAAGCAGGACATAAATTTGTAGGTAAGCTAAAAGCGCCACGTTATTTAAACAATTATCTAAAACACGCCAACACATTGCGTTCCATGAACTTATGGTAAGACTAAATATCTTGGATTAGTTTAACCGTCGCGCCAAAAACGAACAACAGGACCGCCAAGCTGCTTCCATATCCTGTTCATGGGTTACATACCTCCATCGAATCGCCAAGAATCGGCTAATGAATGTGTTTTAACATAATCTTATAATGAGTTTTCGATGCCAACTTGAATAATTTCTTCGTTTACACATAGCTTACTGCAAGATGGCTTCAGGAAACTACCGAATACATCTAGTCTGTCGCTTAGTGTCGTTTCCAAACTAGTGACGAAGCTTTGAGATTGACGCGTGAGATTATTCGCAGCCAAACCGATTCTTTCAGCCACCACAAATCCAGAGATGCTAGCCGGCTGTTTCGCCTCTGGTTAACTCATCAGCAATGAGTTTTTCCATTAGGTTACCAGTAGGTGACCTTGGGTTAGAATCCAGCGAGGCCCAAAGAACACATGCATTACCCGCGTTGTTGCTTTGAACGAATATCACCCAAGCAAACTCACAAATTTTGCAACTCGACTGGGTAATCTATTAATTTATGCCAACTTCCACTTTATAATAAGTAAACTTACCACAGAGTTGGATAAAGAACAAGATCAGATGCGTCGTTGTGATGTAACGCATTCTCATGTTTTGTACTACAGGTTGTACCAACTACCTGTTGGTGACTGGCAATCTCGCTAACCAGCACTCGCGTGATTGGTCAGCTTCAGAGGAGCGATCGATAGGTTTCGATAGTCGTTCTGGTCTCCTAATTGAGATGCACTCAAGTGGGCCATATGGTGCTCTTCTGTTGCTCTACAATGATACTTAGGCGTCACACTCTCAAGTAGTTGAACTGCTTACAGCAGCAGATATATTGCTTATGGACTAACAAAGGGAAGTAAAGCGGATGTGATGGGCACGTGTTGGATTTTATATTACTCGTGAGTAGCAGGATTTTAGTCGTAATTTTGTTAAGGCTTTCATCCCAGTAGTTCACAAGCTACATAGCAGAGCCTAGTCCGGAAATGCACCAGACGCGTTTCGCCCTATTGGGACTCGTCAGTGGTGCGCATTCCTTCGGTCCCCTACTGCTAGATTTTTCTTATCCTTACTGTCTCTACCTTAAAAACTGCTAGAAAAAATGTTTTTTGATATGGTTCCACTGATTTTTTGCAGATTTATGGTAAACAAACCGCTATGCATTTGCAATTGCTAATTTTTAACAAAATCTTATGTCGAATTGTTGTTACTGGAATTACTCTTTGTCAGGAAGTCCTAGGGAGGATCCCCCGAGGTTGGAACAGGATCGATTCCGATTAACTATGTTTTTCAACGAAAACGCTCAGCAGCGTCGAGGGTTGTAATTAACTGTTATGTATCGGTGTTTCACTATGGTGATATCACGAATTAAGAGAGCACGACCTATCTTCTGAGGAACTCAGGGAACTTAAGCAGATGCTCGAGATCAATGTGATTGTAAGTTGACAATCACACAAGAGCATAATCAGCTTGTTGCGACAATCTGTCGCTCATCATAATCGATAACAGACCAACAGGCGGTTCGTTTGCTAGATGAGGGCAACATACACGCATGGTGGTAGCGGGCATAATCCCTTATATATTGGAACCACTACATGAGCTTAGCGCTGTCACGAAGATCATGCGTTTAAGGCTTAAATCTCCCAATAGCATTGTGCTGCGCAGTCAGCGATGACACCATTCCGCATATTTAGCAGATTCGACAAGGATGAAGTTCCGTGAAACGAACACATGTTGCAGACCACTGAGATGTAACTAAATTGCCGTTTTAGTGTCTAACATCCACCTAGTCCACTGGTGAAGTTTCAAAAACACAGTCAATTGGTCTTAGCATTTGGACATGAAGGAGTGGCAAGGGAATTTGGAGGGAATATGTTCGATCTTTTACAACTAAGCTCAGTCAGATGGCCATCACACGTCTGGGACAGAACAAGCTGGCCATTTCATCTTCCCGAACTTCACCAGCACTATGAATTGTATATCTGTCTTGGGGAAATATAACCTGCCAACCTATTTTTAATAGTCTGTGGTCAAAACCACTGTTCTTTGGAGAGTGCCAATTGCCAAACTGACTACGTTGTTGGGTGTGATGCAGCAACGGTTTATCACGAGTATAAAAGCGAATGTTTGACATGTCCCGTAGGATGGTTAGGGTGAAAATTAAAAAATTACAAGCTACAGTGTCCGTAAAGATAGTGTGATGCAATGACTCACCAGGAGCTTTGGAGTTACACATATACGAATATTTCTGCCTGGAGTTTAGGATGGTTATGACACCGTTCACTGTTTGTTGTGCACTAATGCCATCATCTGATGGTCATGTGCTATATCACGTAGTGTAAATGTGGAGGGTATCGTGAAAGCGTTTTGTTTTGAGTAGGGATAAGGTGGCGGCTTTTATTACATGCGCCAGAAGAGCGTTCCAATGCTGTGGTACTCAGAGTGCTAGAAAGTTGCCACGCTTGGATAGCGTATTCCGCGTGCGGTCTCACGTACGCGCCAAGCATTTTCGGAAACATTGAGGCGTCAAAGTTCCCTACTGCTGTACGAAGATGGCTAAAGGGCTGGTTTACTTTCTCTGACACATTTTTAGCCTGTTTCAAACACCCAAGTTCCTCTTCGATGAGCACGCCAAGATCACACACATGAGAAGCCCGCTGTAGAATTTGTGCTCCCAGGCGGTAGTTGTACGTACTCTTATGGCGTGTGCCCAGAGTTTTGCACTTGGTTGCGTTCAACTGCAACATGTTCTCGATGGATCATGTGTACGCTTTGTCCAGCTCATCCTGTATGGTTGTGAGATCCTCCATTGAACCGATAGCATGCCATATATTTAAATCATCGGTAAATAGTCGGCAGTTTGAAGACAGCACGCTTGCGAGATCATTTATGAAGAACAGGAACAGGCGAGGCCCGAGTACCGAGCCCTGAGGTACGCCGCACTGAACTACGATTGGCTGTTTGATTAGATATCCTCGTCATCAAAAAGCACCTTAGTTAGAAGTGCAAAACACCTTAGCTATTGTGCCGCAATACATAAGAAAAGAAGAAGCAAAACATGCAACAGCAGCACGCCAGCTGAGACATCAGTAACGGATGGGCATCGTTCCAGAGAGATACCAGCCGGCTGTTGTGTCGCAAGCAAGTTATATTATAATTGAGATTCGTCACAGCCAGATTTCAAATCAGATAGTCTTCCACATGCCTGGAAAAGTACTAGACTGCAGTTTCAGCCTGTTGCGCATCATCAGTAATGCGCATCCATACGATCCATCAGGATCCGAACCCATGACCACCAGCGGCTTGCACCGCCAGTCAGCAGGTTATGCCGCTGGGCCACGAGGGACAACTTCGGATCGTCATGATTTACAAGCTAACTGTGATATAGCGCGTCTTGTCCTTCACTGCCATGCAAGTTACGAACGTTACAGAGGACAGGTTTGGTCCCGAAAGACAAGACGTCCCCTAACAGTAGCTATGTACGACATAGCATTTAGAAACTGTTAGGGCGGATATATTTTATGTATTCATGAGTAGGAGATTTTGATACGGGTAATTGAGGTTCGTCGCAGCCAGCTTCCAAATCAGATAGTATTCCACATGTCCGGAAAAGCACTAGACTGCTGTTTCCGCCTGTTGGGCATCATGAGTAGTGCGCATCCATCAGGATCCGAACCCATGACCATCGGCGGCTTGCACAGCCAGTCAGCAGCTTATGCATGTGGAAGACTAGCTGATTTGGAAGCTGGCTGTGACGAACCGCAAATTTCTATATCAAAATCCCCTACTCTTGAATACATAAATTTATATTATGCCTAGAAAGTGAGATCGTGGTTTGAAAGGGAGTGACAAAGAACCTCGCAACACAAACGACACAGGTCATTTCCTGGCCATATCGGCAAGTGTATCCAGCCAAATGTGTTAATTTTCGGACTCGAACCTACGAGCCGAGAGGCTCCCACCGAGGCCAACGTCGAAGTATGGACCTTCATTCCTATTGACCAAGTCATCGCTTGGCTACCCCTCTTCTTCCATCCACAACCCGGCGCGCAAACAACGCATGTCTCGGGAGGCAGTGGGCTGATTTCGCAACACATCGCCTTGATTAAATATGGATGTGATGTGGTCAACATTATTTTAATTCCAATTTAAGTTCGGACAACGAGTGGAGTGCACGCTGCTACGATTCCCGTAAGTATGAAAAGGCCATCAAGTGCTCTGCTTGGTTTGACATACCCATCCGACTAAGTCTAGTTTTGAGGAGTTCACCTTGTATACTCTAGTTAGAAGGTGAACTTTTTTAACCACTACACTGAAAATGTCACGCTATTATCTTGACTGGCTCGCCGAACAACTTCCTCAAATTGCCAGCTAGACAGATCGCGTCAATGTCGTTCCAGTGGGTGACTGGGCAGCAGTGTTTCAGGACGTCGTGGGTTTCCGCCTGGCAGGCGTTCTCCCTATAAACAGTCACAAATGTCCGTTTAACAACACTGAAACGTGGCGGATGTGACTCACCACTAAATAAACTCACAACTCTTGCCCATCAAATCGACACTACCCTCTCCACGGACATCACTCATATACTTCGGAGGCTTCGTGTGTGATCCCTTCTTGCACTCGCGACCCGATCAAACTCAATCATAAATGCTTCCTTGCTTTAACAATTCCATTCAACAATGTCACATAGCCACAGCTGGCGGCATCCGATTCCAGATTTGCCTGTCACTGTGGTTAGCCATAGTACGCCTACGTCTACAGAGGGACCATGATTGGCTTGCGCTGCATCAACTACAGCTCCATCCACACACCCCATATCCAGTGTAAACACGAAGGAATAAGACCGGGAGGCATGTAGATGGGAGCCACGTTTCATCAACGGAAACAGCCCACACTCTTTCACAGGCAAACGCACGCACGCTGTATTTGGGAATCAAACGCAGGCATGACGATGACTTGACCGTAGTCCGCTCCACACTGAGTGCATGGAACCACTCTTTGATCCTAGCCCGGTCACAATGACCATGCACCCCGTCCCCTCCAGCAACAACCAACTGTCTCCTGGAACCAGTGTGGAGGAGGTAGTGGGTAATAGACACGTAGGCACCTTGTCAACATGCACATCAAGTGCAGCCACACCGGGGATGTCAAATGGCAGCCAATCACTTGAAATGACATTACCAAACAAAACGTATCTGTTAAAACATACGGCTATGCAGACGTAACTTTTCGCTAAATTAGCATATGATGTATGTTGGTTAGCAACTAATCCGCGTGTTATTCCTAATGTGCTACAAACACAATGAAGTTAACGAAGATGGCCACTATCAGCGTAAAAAACAACATGGCCAGTTAATAGAAGATTATTCAGGTAATCAGAACAAGGCGAATAAAGTGGAATGCAATTTATCCAGATTAAAAAGACCTAGTTTAACTTTAAGTTGGTTTAGCCCAACTGCTGTGAAGAATCATCACGAATGCAAAATCAGCCTACATATATACATACACACAGATCCAGTATGTTACTGGTTAGCTTGCGACCTCTTTGTATAATTATCGACCATATTTGTTTCCATTATCGTGATCATGCCTTTGCAGGCGTACCTCGCACTGCCGAGAATAAAACATTTATTTATGGAACGAAAACGGTCACTGTACTGCTGTTCGTATGCTTAACTGAAGAGTTAGAAGTGGCTCTGTGGC